AGCTGGACGGAGTGATGTAAGCAAATAACATCTGGCTGGTGCCTAATTTAGCTTACTCACCACTTTAGACACTGCATATACAGAGAATAATTTGCCCAAGGGTTTTGCCTCACCCTCTCTTCCCCCCTGCCCCATTCACTTTATTCGTGTTTTGACACCTCTCCACCTAGGGGGGGGGGGGGGGGGGGGGAGGAGGAAGAGGGAGGAACCTACGTGAAGTGAAAAGTGAATCATTCAGACATTCCACAGCTTGAATCCTGCATATAACAACATCTGCATCTGCAGTGCAGCACAACTTGTAAATATCACAGTATAATGCTCTCATCACACATTATAGATGATTATATAGATTACTAGCGTCAAAGCACACAGCTAGTTTAGGCCTGGTATCGTGCCTGAAGCAAGAACATGTCCCCAGAAACACAGGCTAAGCTCAGTGGCCCTACTGGGGTCAGGTCAGTGACATTTAAACGGAATTAAATAAGTTAAATTAAGCACACTGAAGTAAGAGTTGGTACTGGCTCCCTATTTCTAGCCATTGGTTTATCACAGCAGAGGTAAGATCCAAATACATGGCACGGACAATTCAATCACCCTCCCAAGAACCCAACTGCAGGGAAGAAAGAAGAGCCTGCCTCCACAAAGCATCACAACTGATACAGTAAGGTCCACCAGGGCAGAGCTGACCCATGTGGAACCAATGACACACCTATAACACACCCCCAGGAGCGTACAGCTACAGCTGCATCCCTGCAGAAGCAGATCAAGTACAGCAAAGTTTGCTAGTTCTCTCTAGCTACACCAATACAGCACTTCAGCTAACAGATCTTTTGGACTCCGTTTGTCCCTTCATCTGTAGCATTAATAATTCAGAACCCACCCAGTTAATTTGATTGTAAGCAACAGAGAACTGACACACATGTACATACTTCGTATCTTCCTAGTAAGCACACTTCAGATTCCTAGCACCTTGTATCAATGCACGTTGTTCTTACACTGCCAGTCAGCAGTGACGGTTATTTCCAGCTTATGCACACCTGAGCTGTGCAGTATGTTAAGATTGGTTGGGACAGCATCTTAACAGCTCATCCTTTAATATTATTCTAGATTTTCTTGCAGAGCAAAGAAGAATGACAACTATAACTCGATATAATTAAACAACTGAAGTTAATCAGGTAGGTTCGTTTAGTTGTAGATAAATGTGTAGGTAGTACTCATCCACATGTTCCACTACTCACAAGCAATTAGAAAAACAGAGGGGAAAAAACCCAGAACCCTAAACACATTTGATTAGAGCTCAGCCATAGAGATAACAACAAAAATCCAAAATTGCAGGTCCAGCACCAAATCCACGCTGTCACATTTTCAAAAATTTAAGAAACCCGTGTTTCCCTGTGCTCTGAAGTAATCAGATTCTCCAGCATCAGAAGACAGAAACCCAAGCCCTTCAAGATATCCACCTATAAATATTAGGTTTAAAAAACTCAAACCAAAACACTAACTTATTAGCAACTAATCTGAAAGGCTGTTAAAGAGATAAACTGCACTTCTCTCAACCATGAGAATTATCGGAAAACCATCATACTTAATTATTAGTGAGATTTTAAAAGTCTATACAAAGCACAATTTTAGGAGTCCTTTCACCCTGCAGTACATTTTTCTGATCAAGAATTTCTTACTATTCAGAAAAACAAAACTCATTGATAGAAAAAGTCTTAGGAAAGTCATACCATGACAAAAGCTAAGATGGCTAACTTCACGTAGACAGGGACAGCAACAACTACCCATGCATATATGAGAATGTATACAGTTTTAAACTGAACTACAATATCGTTGATTAATTATATATCTATATATTGAATTACTATAGAAAATAGTTACACAGAATAAATCAGAATTTCACAACTAGGCGCCTACAAACAACACAGCATGTGGCTGAAGAATTTTGGTAAGGCAGGAACTTTCAACAATTTGCTCAGTTGTAAGTTTGCAGAAATACAGCACCAGTTGTAGAACAAGCATTTCCTCTCCAAGGCGAATGGATTCTGGGCACTACAGGATTTAGCCTATGAAAAGTTCTGTTGTTCTACCCGTCCTTAACAAGGGAAAGCTGCAATGAAGGCTCACCAATATCCAGCTTTCTATGTGATCCCGCTAATGCATTAAAGATGTGATCTGCTGCAAAACCATCTCAAGTAAGCAATGATGTTAGCTATACAATTTAATAACTAAAACAGTCCGAAGTTTCCAAACTCTCCCACATTTCTAAATTTACACCCTAGTCAAAGGTTATGCCTCATGTTACATAATCTGCCCTCTTCACTGAGAATGTTATGGCTATAGGCAAAGCAAATGAAAACAACAGCTCCTCTGGATCAATCGTGAGCCATGAAGCAAAAAAAGACTGTATGACAGACACAATTTTTCTTGGCACTGTATAGGCATTAAAAACTGATGACAATCGTATGTCCAAGCTGGCACCCCTCCACAGCAGATCTGCGGGAGTGTCACTACATCTGGATGGTGAGCGCACTCAGGTCCCGAGGCACTCCAGGCCTACTGAAACCAGAGGGACAGCAGCTGCACTCAACAGACACCATGGGAGCTCCATAAAGTGATGAAAGGCCTGAATTACCACAAACTGTAAATACAGATTTATTTCATTAAAATACTAGGTAACCACTGCAGTGATCCCTTCCTAAGATTGACTCATTTCAAGCATAAGCCAGCTATTTCAAGGATTTATTCACGTTTCTCTCCTACAAAGCCAACACAAAAGGCAAAACCAGTAATTATTTATTTCACCAAGGCTGATAAAAAATAAAGCTCACCTTCACAGAAGCGCCAAGAGGAAAGCCAAAAGCACATTATGCCGTCATTGCATTAGGCAAGAAAGGTTCTTTTGTTGCAGAACTAACAGGTCTTCAAAAATTTTTAATGCAATTTGAACACACATAGAGCTTTTGCTAAACACGGAGAAATAAGGTGTGAACAGACCTGCTCCAGGAAGCAGATACACCAGCACACACACAACCTCACTTCTCATGTATGCATGAACAAATACATCTATAAAGCAATTTTATATAGAAAATCGCAACATTCTGGGTAAACACTAACAAGTAATTGCTGCAAAACCCTACAACCACCCTGCTGTTATCCATCACAATACATGCTGTAAAACACTGCAAAAACATGTATGTGACTTTTCAATAAGCTAGGAAAAATAGTGGAAGAAAAACAAAATCCAAAAACACTAATTGCTAGAGCATCGATTTCAAACGAAAGTCACCATCTAATTGAAATAAACATGTGAAAATCAGAGAATAAGTCTGGCCAACCAGCACCTGCCCAAATATCTTGTTTCACATGAAAACTTAGCTTTGACTTATTTTAAAATATTACATTACCATAATTAGAAAACAGTTTCCCAAACAATGAGCGAGGGAGGAATGATATTAGCTCTCAAGTACTTTCAACATCTGTCAGGTCTATGAAAAATTGAAGAAGGAAAGGACTTGACGCCAATACTGGGACTTAAGAATTATCTCTGCTTTTTGGAGGAGCACTCCAGCAAAATGAATCCACAGCACTGAATGCATGCACTCCAATAATCCTTCCATGCAATACTTAAAGAACTCCAATAACAGTCTTGCTTGCAAGAGCAAAAACTTATGAGAACCCATTAAGTGTAGGCCTAAGTTGCTTTAATGGATTGGAGTATCTGCCACAATAGGAGAGGCTGAGAGCTGGGATTCTTCAGCCCGCAGATGTGAAAACTCACGGGAGTGTTATCACTGTGTATAAACACTGATGGGGGGGAGTAAAGAAGGCAGAGACAGATTCTCAGTGGTATCCAGTGAACGGACAAGACGCAGTGGTCACAAACTGAAATACAGGAAAAGCTTGTTTTACTCTAAGGGTGACTGAGCATTGGAACAGATTGCCCAGAAAGGCTGTTACGTCTCCACCTCCAGAGACTAGATATTCAAAACTCAAATGGACAAGATCATAAGCAACCTGCTACAGTTGACTCTGGTTTGAGCCAGGGGGCTGGCTGAACTAGGCAATCTCTAGAGATCTCTCCAGCTTTAACTATTCTGCGATTCTGTGAAAACTCAGGTTGCATTAAAATAGGGACAGAAGTTTACAACCTCGGACCTTCTTCTGTTCACCGGCTACTTCCTGAACCAACCACAATGCAGAAACCTTCAAAGCATGGAAGGAGCTCTTGAGCATCTGCAAGACACCTCTCATCAACACCATGCTGAATGTCTTTAGCTATTCCAGAGTGCAGAAAGTCTTAGTAGAAGAGTAAGAAGACAATGCTAGAATGTGGATTTTTAACGTAAGGGCATCTAAACATTATAGCGTGGTTAATTCTCTTCAGCGTTGTTTCAAACATGCCAATTAGAATCGGATGCTACTGTCCATATTTTTTTTTAAATATACAAATGTTGCTGTATAGTCATAAGCATTACTTCTACTAATGCAACTCAGTTACCCCAGGAAAGAAGTCCCATGCTCTTGGTGCAGAGGCTGCCACCTGATCTACTCTTTCACTTCAAACCAGACTGACCCCAGCAAACACCTCCCCATACTGCAGCAGCCTCAACTATTCCCACTGCACCCCTTTAACTACATCCCAAGCAGAGGGGTCCATTTCCTTAGGAAATTAGGACTTTCAAAAGAATAAAATATTAAAGCTATTTTAGCCAAGTAAATGATCCCTCTTAATGGATGTTTCTCTAGGTGGCCATTCAAAGCACTTAAGTTAAGCCTGTGCTCTCTCCCGATTGATTACAATGCACACAGAAAAACCAATCTCCCTGCACTGAAGTCAGCTGTTGTGATTACTCCCCACAGTAACATACTTCCACGAAGTGGCTGCTTAAAGAAAAATTAAACCAAAATAAAAATTTGTAGGGAATCCTAATGGAATGAAAAAAAAAACACCCCTCACCACACACCCTGTAATACTTTTCATCAAGGAAAGTACTTACCTGACATTTTTCCCTTGTTCTCTCAACATCTTCACCAGATCAGCTATGGGGTACTGAGCTTTTGCTGCACACAAACCATAACCTGAAAGAATTTCCAAATTTTAAGCTATTTTTCTGTTTCAGTGCAGACAGAATAGTTATACCTTCCACACAAACAGCAGCTCTCAATTAAAAATAAACAAAAAAATTATATATGTATATATACAGACACACACCAGATACTAATATATTCCCAGACTGACCAGTGTAATTCACCTCTTCTTTTTGGTCTCCTGACCACTAACAATGTAGTAGTTTCACTACTCAACTACACAAGTAACTTCTTTCAGCTTCACAAAAATACATGTTCCTTTCTCTACCAGAAAAGGACGTTTCAAACATGTACACTGAAAAATTGATTAAAAGGCTACTATCAGGTTACTTCACCACCATTATATTCAACAAAATTTTAGATATGCATAATGCAAATCTAGTAGTTGACCAGGGCTTTTAGGAGCAAATAATCTTTTCAGCCTTTCTGTCTGAATTAATTCATCAAAGCAATAATGCCTGAGAAGAAAATGGAGAGTACAAATTATTAATGCTGTCCTCAAGGTTTGGCCACAGGAGCAAGAGACAAACTCCTTGAAGATGTCTGTAAGCTCTGTTGGAAACAAAGGTAACTTCCCAAATTAGAATCCTACCTCACTGACATTTTCATTTAAGCTGAAACAAAATGAAAGACAACTTTGATTTTTAGCATTCTTCTCATTCCAACACTAAAATAAATTTAACAGAGAGTTGTGCCATTCAGTTGAAGGAGAACAAGTTCTGAGCTATTCCCTATCTGACTTCTCCTAACAGGGAATGTGCTATTGAACCATCTGAGCCTGCAGCCAACAAAATAGTTTAAGACAACTCAGCGTTTTGGTTGTCAGGGTTTTTTCTACTTTCATTCCAGTATTTATTGTATACTAACCAAGTTTTAGATGTTTTTCTGCTGTTTTTTCTAATAAAACAATGCAGAATTAAGTACGTAGATGAGAAGCGTAAACAAAATCCTCTCTTTCAGTAACTTAACAGATATTTTGTTATTGGTACCACTGGTACTGTGGGAGTGCTTGGAAACTCACACCACAACAGCTGTACACAAAATTAACTGTAAACATAATCTACAAAAGACAGTCTTTGTCCTGAAGAATTTAAAATCTAAATAAATAGAATAAAGATTGAAGAGACACACATAAGGAAAAATAAAGTGGCATACACATGTCTACACAGAGGAATGATGACTAACACGGGAGCAAACAGATCCCACATACCCAGTCAACACTTGAAAGGCTGCTGCTATGTTGCAACTGCAAGACAGGCTACATTTTTTCATTCTGTTTTGGTTTTTTGTTTGGTTGGTTTTTTGGGCTTTTTTTATAATACATCCTCTTACCTGGAGTAATAATAATATTATTGGCTTCCTTTATCATTTCGATTGCATTGTCCACATTGATTTCTGTGTGGGTCCCAGTAATTTCCATGGGCTTCCCACCAGCTGTTGATGTGGTGCCATATCCCCCTAGGATCACATTTGCAAGGGAACGGTTCATAGCCTGAAAGGCAAGAAGTTTTTGATCAGCTAAAGATGAAAGCTATAAAGGAGAGATGTCCACAAAGGAAACTTCTGAAAATATTAAAGCCATCCTGACAATAGTCTTTATCCGCTGTTCTTGCCTGCTTACAATTCAGAACTTCTTAAAACAGGCTCCTTCAAACAGAGACCCAGATTAACACAGTAGCCAAACATCAGCTTCTAACACTGTTACATTACACATGTAACAAGAGAGCATCAACATTTTCCCAAGACAAAGAACAACACGACACAAGTAGCAAATATTAGTCTCTCTTTGCTTTTAAAAGGGAGAGATACAAAAAAATGCATATTTGATGACAGCACTTTTTTTTTTTCACATACACATGTATATACACAAACACACAATTTTTGCCAGATATATTCTTAAGTTCTTGAGCAATTCAGCACGTAAGCACAAAACTGCTATATGACAGCATGGAAACCTTGAAGCTCTTACAGGTAGTACAGAAGCAAAGCTCCTACAGCATCAAGACAGGAAAGAACACAACAAAGCTAAGTAGTCACAAAAAACTAACCAAACGCCGACTCAAAACAAATTGTAATGAACTGAAGGGGGCCATTAACTTACTGGCTGAGCACCAAAGGGGAACATGAGATCTTAAACTAGTAGCTTTAAGAAGAGAACATCCTGAAAATTCGGCTCTGTAGACACATAGCCAGGAAAAGCCACTGGCTAAATGTTTTCACTGGCATATCTCCTTGTGAGCGTGGTTCCAAAGCAGTAGCTGGCAATATCTGGAAGCAGGCAAAACTTGTAACTGCAGTAAACAGAACTACAGAAGCAGGAAAGGAACAGGATAAATTGCTTCTTTAATTAAACATGTCATACACCTGCTGTGGTACTTCAGAAACCACAGCAAAATTTGAGAATGGACCTGGAGAGGCACACATACATGTGAGAGAAATCACCCCCACAAAAGTATGCTTCCAAGTGCCCATTTTCCACTGACATTTGAAATCAGGCAACTCCACAGGTTTTTTGCTGTGGCGTGAGAAGATATGCTGTTCTGTGAAATTCATCATCTAGCAAACAAGCACAACAAAGATGTCAGAAGAACTTTTATCCTGATAAATTGTCACTGTTCCAGACACTGTAAGCAAGGTGCACAAATGCAGTGAGATCATCATCTTTCTACTGTCTACGGTAGGCAATAGTTCATATCCCCAAAGAACTGCTGACTTTTACACGTATCACAATATTAAACCTTCAAACTGGAAAACAGACTACATAGTTTACTACAGCAGTTAAACGTCAGGTAAGACAGCCTAGACAGAAGAATACCCTCTGCAGATGTTGCACATGCTAAGTTTACAAGATGTAAAGCTATGCCTATCTAAGCCAAAAGACAACACTAAGACCAGGCCAAAGGAAAAAAAAGTTCAATTATTATTAGAAATCTGAGAATCCACACAAAGCAAACACGAGACTGAAGCACCCTTGCCTGGCTCCACACCAGTAAGCCAAGGAAAGAGGAGGAAGTCTGGCAAAAAAGAGAGTGGTACAGCAGGCTTCAAAATGAGCCAAGACGCCACCAAGCAGCAATTAACTACTGCAGCTAAGACCTACTCAGCACAGAGACAGTGTGGAAACTCTTTTATAACCTCTTTCACCTTCTTTACCCCAGAAACGTCAAACACATATGAATAAAGTGCAGACTTCACGATTCACAGGTAGTTCAACTACCAGCAAAGAAGTCCTCTCTGCTGTGCGTACAGAGGTGATACTGGCCAGGAGCTTACAGCTCAGGGAGAATCAAGCAGATACAAGTGCAAAACCTCAGTGATTATCTGAATACATGTTGGCCAATTTGATGAACTCAAGCTTTAAGAGATAGGGTGTGGGTGACAAAGCTACAATTTTATCACACAAAGTAATTGGAAATGGTGTAAAAAGCAGGTTTCAACCATTAAGATATTTCCACAAACACCTTCTCATCTGTACTAGACAAGCCTCCATAAATATACTGTTCTAAATGTAAGTCACACTGGAGAAAGCAGGGAGGTGGGGGGAAGAAAACAATAAGAAAAAAAAAGGGGAAAACTGTTGCTTCATTAGCACAGGTTGTAACAGCCTAAAGCAGACCTTATTGAAACTACTGGAGATTTGTTCTCATGAAATACAGCTTCAAGACAATGACACTGAATCCCCTGATTATAGCAATGCTTTTAACAGTAATGATTTCTATTAAAGGAAATATAACACAAAAGAAAAATGCTGGGCTAAAAACAAGTTATTCTGCTTATTGTGCAGAAATTATACAAAATAATTTTAATTTTACTGGCTGATCAACTTTGTCTAAGTTAATGTAAAGCAGTGCAAGATTTCTAGAATACTGTCTCAAAAAACTAAACTTCCTGAAATTCTAGAAATACATAGAAGAAAGCCACTCTGTCACTGCATAACTATTTTGCTAAATACTTTCCCAGGCTCCCTAGTTACTGAGATTTCCAAAACAGACAGATGCAAGTATCTCAAAACTCTCTGTGAGTGCTGAGAGGAACTAGCAACAAAATAAATAAAACAAGGAAGGGGACGGTAAAATAAAAATCAAGGTATAGCTACTACGCCTATTGGTAAATATATACCAAATAGATCACCTCTTCACCAAGAGTTACAAGAATTTGACCTTTAAAGAACATACTTTTCATACTTGTCGTGCCCATAAGCATTATCTTTCTAGTGACATGGACTAAACTGCTAAATTCATATATTTATATATAAAAAGGTGTCCCATCGACCACATAATCTGATTTCCTTTTGATAAGAAGATACAGAATGTCCAAGAAAGAACAAGATTCTTTAAAATTCATATGTGGGATTGTTCATCTGAATTCATCTCCACAAAGCTGCAAAAAAACACTTTCTTAAGCTTTTCTGAAATTGTTTCTCAAGAGAGATGAAAACAAGTGATACTGAACTTTCTTAACACAGTAACAACACTACTTAGAGACAAAGTAACAGCAGACATCCAGGGCTGACCACAGGAAAACATCACTACAGAAGAACAGCAACACTGATCATACAAGAACACAGGAGCAGAAGTGAAATAGAATTACACAACAAAGAATCAGGAGGTTGGCAGCTGTTGCACTGTGAACAGTTTTCTTTAAGTCATTATCTCTCCATCCTTGAAAACAAAATGGAGACACACATAGGAAAACAACGGACTTCTATACAAATGTTCCAGAGAAAAGGAGATTGTTGCTAATAACGCAATATGATTTACACACAGAGCTGAAGATTAAGTTCGCTCTGTCACAGACGTTAGTATCAACAACACATTAATGCACGCCTGCTGCCACCTCGTGGTACTTCAAAGTAGCTGCTCTGAAGGAAGCACATTTTCCTGTACTCCAAACTTCAAGTTACTCTCTAATAAAAATGTTTGGTTTGAAAGGAACTCACTAGTTAAAGTATCTCCTGCTGACAAATTTTAAATGACCGACATCTAGTTCAACTGTTTCAATCAAAAATTATCTAGTCTCTGAACACCTAGCAGGTTAGTCTTCTGATTGCTTATCTTCATAGCAAACATGCTGAATAAGGTTTTTGATTACTTGGAAAACACGCAGAATTTCTGCTGACTTCTTACCACACACATGATGTAAGAGAGGATGGCCCCAGAGGAGCCAATGGCCCATCCAGAATAACTGTTCAGGACAGTAATAACTACAGGCATGTCAGCACCTCCAATGGCAGCCGTTAAAGTGACACCCTGGAAAAAGAAAGAAAATACTTCAGTATAAGCAACGATTCAGGAGAACACACAGAGAATACAGTCTGCCTGCAGCACTGAAAAATACATATCAAGTTACTAGATAACCTATTCAAGTATTTTCAACATAGGAGACATTAAGCTGTGGCCTGAGGATTGTACTTACCCATTCTGCCTTTTGAGACGGGATAGGAAGACACTTTTCTGTCTTCATCCTAGTCACGTATTTTTACTTGCAAAAATATCCTACCAGCTCCACGAACTGTTCATACCATTAAAAGATTCATACTAAGCAGTCTTTGCAAGACTCAGTTTACAGAATGGTAATATGCAAGGTAAATTTTCCAACAGCTGGTGTGAGCGAATGGGGAAAGTTACACACGGGGACAATCTGATTAAGTTATCCTGATAACCTGTAGATCCAGTGCTCTTTTAAGTATTTTTATGATAAACTTTCTAAAAAGTCTTTTAAAATACCAGTCTGTCATATAAAAGGCTCCACCAAGTCATAGCTGCAAAAGGAATTATACACATATGTGCCTGTTCTCTGGAACAGTTCTGGTTTACAGCTAAATTCAGAAAAGTCGGTTGCTACTTGCTACTGCAAGTAGCATACAGGTACTATGACGATTGTGACTCAGGATGGTAAAATAAAATCTAGAACAAGAAACATGCAACAAAGCATTTGCAAACAATGCAAAACGAACAGCAAAGCTGAAGAACAATCTGCTGGTTTAATTTGTTTCACCTCCTACAATTCCACGACTCACCATTATGGCTGAGAGCGCTGACACAGAACCTAAGCAAGTAATCCCCATCGTGTAACTAGGATCAATCATGTACGGAACCATTCCACCAACGCTGGCAGCCAGCAATCCTGCATTCAATGCATGTCGACCAGGCAAGAGCAGTGGTGCAGAATTCAGGATACCTGCAATCAAACGCATGTTCAGAGACTGACACACACATGCAGGAGAGCCTGTCTCTTGCCCCAGAGAAGACTGAATATCTCAGCAAAACTAAGAAAAGGGAAAAGGACGGACAGAAGATAAAACAAGTCAGCTGAAGCTGAGACCTTGTGCTGACTCAGTATTGCAACACTCAAACTTACTCTAGACTCTCAAATACTCCTGCTTAAACTCTCATTCTACCTCCTAATCTCACTGAAGTGCTCCAGAATAATCACAAAAATCTCTTCTCCCTTTGAAAAGCCCCTTTTCTTTTTTTAAATGTACTTTCATTCTGGCTCCTAGTCTCTGCGTGTTGTGTATGAAGCTCTGTAATAGGAAGCTTTTAGCTGGAACTTCTTAGTACAGTATTATCTCAGTCTCTCAAAAGCTGTGTGCTTAGAGACATATGACTACATGGATGACCCCATATATAAAACACTTCTGCTTTCAAATGCTATAATTTCACCAATAACTCAGTCAGAGACTTCCCACAGCTTCCCACACCGGCAGAGACTTGAAGGGAAAAGAGGGTTCGGTATTTGTGTGATTCAGTTTAAAAATACAATTACGTATTTATTTTCACTCTAGGCTTCCCCACCCTGCCCCAAGCAACACAGCAAAGAGTAAAAATAATGCAAGTTTATCTGTCACTTTTGGTGTAAGTAATTATTTACCAAGTATCTGATTTAAATTTAGGTGAATTTAAGGGAAAGAATGAACTGACAGTATCAGGACTAGGCATCAAGGTGTGTGTCCTACTACCCCTGGTTCTATAGTACAGACATGTTTAATATTATCGTGCCAATATGAAAATGCCAGGGGAAAAACATAAAAGAAAAACAGGAGAATGGGCTGCAATACGCAGGGACGTGCACAAATCACTGAAGGGGTGGAAGAGATAAGATAGGGAAGAGGAAAAAAAAAGAGAAGAAATAAATCAGTAACTACTTAGCAGAAATACATACTACTGACAAATCCTTGAAAAGATTATTAGAGAAGACAGGTTTCCATCCATGTCATGCTTCCTCCTTCAATGGCTGTTTTTATAAACACTGAAGAAAGCAAACAGATGTTTCCCAAAGGAACCATTGCAAGGCTAGTAACAAGATTAGTAATAGGAAGCTCTTAGCCAAAACTCAGTACAGGTATCATCTCAGTCTCTCAAAAGCTGTGTGCTTGCAACACCAAAAATAAACGCAATAAAGAGACCTTCAGGTGTCTTAAGACTCAGGAACTAGTGAGGATTTAATTGAGAAGGCATATTTACCAAAACAGTAAGAGTTATGAGGCATGAAGTTTGCACAGTAGGTAAACAGACAATGAACTGAATGGTTTAAGGTGTGGCAATCTCAACTGATACTACAAGCTACCTACATAAATGAAGCCTGCAATGCTAAGACCAAAATCCCACAAATATTAGCGGTGCTCACTGAGTCCAGCAACACCAGGGTTTCAATTAAAATATCTGCTCAGGAATACCAAATTGTGATCACAAAAATTCAATAAAATCAATTAGAGAAACACTGTCAGGTAGCATCTTAACAACACTAAAGCAACACTTATTTCTAGACAAGATGAACTGAGGGAAGCTTACATGACTTGGTAATCAACAGCAGTAGTACGCCCAAGCACTCAGGACAAACTTTTCATAACTAAAGCTGTACACAAATTAAATCAAATTAAAAAGAAAAAAGTACACTCCTAAGAATTAAACACACAAACTTCTACCTGATGCAATATACTGGGTTTCTTTCCAATTACACAGCAGTCTAAAGGCAGAATTAAATCCTGAGTGGGGAAAACCCTTTAGCAAATACTTAATCCTGAATGGAAGGTCTCACCTTGCAGTTTTCCATAAGCAACAAGAGAGCCACTGAAGGTCACTCCACCAATGTACGTGCCAAGGTACGCCACAATTTTGGTGAGGTTTGCAGCTGGATCAGTAGCAAAGTGAGGATACTCAATCATGTATTCTGCTACACAGGTGAGCACGGCAGCCAAACCAACCAAGCTATGGAAAGCAGCCACTAGCTGAGGCAGATCCGTGATCTGGATCCGTTTTGCAATCGTCAAACCTATCAAGAGTGGAAGACAGAAGGGAAGTCTTACAAAACACAACCAGTCTGTGCAGCTACAAATTAGTGTAACATGGTTCACTGTGCAACGAATACACGTACACACATGCCTGTTCCAGTGGAAAAAGTTGTTCTACACTGGAAATTGCTATTACATTTAACTGAAAGCTGCCTATGTGTGTTTTGTGCAATGAGGCTATCACGGAAATCAGACGATTAAAGCATGCCGTGTTCTTAGAAGCTTCATTGAATATTGAGAAATTCAACATTTTCCGTGATGAAAGCACAGTGTGAAAAAGGGAATTTTGCAGCATTCAGTCAGGAACTGAACAGAATTATGAAGTTGGGCAAGTCCATTCACCTCTGCATAGCCAGTTTCCCTAACCGAGTTCCTGCTTTTCCACCAGTCTCCACATTCTTTACCACATCCTGATGCATTAATAAAAGCCCTGAGACCTACAATCTTTGTTCACGTTTTTGCAAAACAACATACACAAGCCATAAATGTAAGTCAGCCAGTTTACCTGTGAGCTATACAATATTTTGTGTATATACAGCTTGCATAAATGCATGTATAGAGCATACATTATTAGTTTATAGTATCATACACATACCTATAGTACCACCAAGTGCCATTGCACCCGACATCTGTGCCAACAATTCAGGTGAGGGTTTAAGGCCTCCAAGAGTTGCTGCTAAACCTCCTGCAACACCAATCATACCCAGAGCATTTCCAAGACGAGCTGTTCCTTGGGTGGACAGACCAGCCAGCGCACCAACACAGCACAAGCCTGAGCCCAGATACATCATCTTTAAAATAAGAAAAATATCAATATGCACAAATGAAGTAGAGACATTGCAGAACCATTATAAACATCTTTCCAATTATTACACAAAAGGGCTGATTTCTCCAGAACATGTATAAGTCATAGTTCTTAACTGAAGCCAAAACTCTTCACTGTGATAAACTGTTATACAAGATGTGATTTTGGCCAATTAAAATGTGGTATCTATTAAAACTTTTTCCCCATTTTCTGACCTTGGTTTATCTGCACTGTGAATACCAAATATGAGTCAAGCCTATTTTCCTCATCAGTTCAGAAGCAAATTTTCCTTTAGTACAAACCCAAAACTAAACTGTCCTGTGCATTATAGGAATAGTTTCAGAATTTGCTTATGGCACATCTAAACAACTGTTTTAAAAAAAGTATAAACAAACTTAAATGAACTGAGGTATACATGTCTAGATAACTGAAAACACTCAAATTTATTACAAGACTGGCATAAACTTATGTTTGGATTCACTTTTTCCAAACACAGAAGGCAATACACATTGATTTTTCTTACTATTAGAACAAATGCAAACCGAAGTTTACCATAAAAGGTCCTATAGGTACCATCCCTGTACATCCCTCCACCCTGAAATCTCATCTCATCCAGATATTATACCTACTTCAACTGTCACGCCAAGGTGAATTTTCAGAAACATTTAAACTACAGACTGATTTCTGTACTTGCTCTAATATTTAAGCTGTAATTTTTGAAAACTGTCCAATAAATAACAAAGCACCTGCTGCTTTAAGGGGGGTAAGGGAAGCTTTTAAAATTCACACATTCAGCATCTAGGGTATGACTGCAAGCTTAAAGGTAATCAACTTCAGACTGGCCACGTGGGAATACGTAGTTGATGAGAAGACCATGGCTAATCTGCTATTTACTCCTCAGAGTAAGCAGTGAAGAAGCATACCACGATGCGAAAAGAGGGCTAAGAGCCACAAAGTTATCTTCTTACCTGTTCAATATTATAACCACCGCTGAGAGCAGCTGCGTAGCCTCCTACAAATACACCACCGGGAAGCAGATACAAGTAGTTGTACTCGGGAGGATCTGTGGGACGTTTGAACATATCCAGCATTCTCTGTGTAACTAGAAACCCACCTGGCCAAAGTAAAGGAAGAGTTTTACAAATATAGTATCTGAAACTAAGCATATGCCAACCTGTAAGAGAAATACTTGGTTAAACCATATTACCACACAAAGTTAGGAACTGACACAAATAAATCCTCTGAAAAGCTGGTAAACTGCAAAACAATCATGAAACAAAGGTGTAATCAGGGTGAGATCTTGTTGCCTTTTTTTAACCTTTGGAGGAAATTCATAAAAGGAGGAGCTGCAAAGCCTGCAGGACTTGCTCTGGCTCCACACTCTACGCAGACTATAGACACAGCTTAGTTTATGACTGTGTCCTTTTCCCTGTCTACTCTAGCAAAAAGCAGTATTTATAAGTGACACGGCTCATTTTCTTATGTTCTTTATTTGTGAAGCCAGGACTTCTGAGGCTCGAGTAAGCAGAATGGTGTTCTGTGCCACTAGTATATTTTTCAAGTAGGTAAAGGAATACAAGGACAAATGCAGTACCATCTTAGGATACACAGGAAAAGATATTTCATATAATAATCACCCGAAGGATACTGTAAAAGAAAAATGCACATGTAAATGCTTCCCTAAAACAAAGGTTACACCACAGCATGTGCAAAGTGGATACAATAACTGCTATGAAAATTGGGAGGGGTGTCTTTATTGGTGGATGCTGTCAGATCCTACTCGCAGAACAGTGTTTCTGGAATCTATACAATTAAAGAGCTAGAAGAAATAAAAGAATTAAACAAGTGCTTTAAGGTTACCCTCAGAAGAAAACCTAACATTCATACCTGCAATATTGACTGAAGAGATAAAGGCTGAAAGCACTGCTAAACTTTGAGGAGTGTTTTCAGGGAGATAGTTTCCTCCCATCAATACCAGCCCACCAACTGCAGTCAGTCCTATTTAAAAGAGAAAAAAAAAGAAGTGTAATCGAACCTTAAAAGCCTCTGTACTTATAGCAAGTTTCTTTTCAGATATCAAACAGGTACCAACCAACCCAAATTTTGACCCCTACTCTACACATTACTATTTAAACAAAGACTACCGTGGTCTTTTTCAGCAATACAAACACATTTCCAAAGAAAAGAACCTAGTATATTAATACAGTTTTGAAGGACAGTGTCTCAAGCACAGAGTCAGCCTCTGACTACTTGTTCAATACAAGAAACTTTGCTTTTAACAGTCAAAGCAGATCATACTCGTGACCTGTCACATATATGCACACAGAGATATATAAATAACATATTTAGAGTTCTGAATCTTACGGGTCACTTAGGAGTTTTTTTCTTTTCCCACCCTCTCTCAAAACACATAGTTTAAGGAGATGAAAAAAAAGAAACGTAGAAAATACGAAAGACACATTATTTTCAGTGCAACTTTTTGGAGAGGTAGGAGGAAATACATGTTCTACGAGAGGAGAGACTGCAGTATTCCAAGCAAAACAAAATTTAAAGCAAACAGGTTAAGAGTGAAAAATTACTCACAAAAATTAAAAATACACAGCACTACATTTGCCCTTCCCTTGAAAAAAACTTACTCTCAGAAAGAGTACGTTTCAGGTGTCCCTGCTATTTATGAAAGTAAACTCAGACATGCAAAGTAGTACAAGGCTCTTCGGCATTTTAAAAGGCATATCAGATTTCTGTCTAAAGTTCAAGTAAAAGGAGGTGTGCCTACTTCAAATAGAAAATAAGCAGTTGTGTGACAGCTACTTACCTGAGATAGCATTAGTCACTGACATGAGCGGAGAGTGAAGCGCAGGAGTCACACCCCATACTGTATGGTACCCCACTATTCCAGCTAGGCCAAATGTCGTTACCATTTGCGTGAAAGCAGTATTAGGAGCTACAATGCCCAGTCCTAACATGCCGGATAAACCTAGAAGAAAAGCACAGCAAAACTTATCTGTAACTTTCCAATGGTTTCTTACATTTAAACTCTGTACAACAGGAGTCCAGTATTGAGCTAAAAGCAAAATGGTGTTTTGGGCATAGACTTATTTCAAGATCAGCTGAATCATCTTTGTCAACTACAAGGTTCTTTCAGTGACAGTGTTTCTTTTACAATAGAAAATAAAACCATAAATGTAGTACACACATCTGTTATGCACGCACACAAAGCAGCAAAGAGAGGTTTCTACACCAACACTGAACCTTGCCACTCTCCCATTCTACAGTAAAAAGGTAGAAGAGTCACAATCATGCTGAGATACTACTTGGAAGACTCAAAGCATGCACATGAAGAACAGAGGCTAAAATTAAGAATACTCAATTCATTAATTACCTCTTGCAGGAGTTCTGACGCACAAACACAAGTACATGCACACAGTATGACTCAGCACTGTTTGAAATATTAATACTTTTAGTTAAATTTTTAAAATTTTATTTTCCCTCTCAAAAGCAATTATTGCACTACACTGATTTTGCACTAGGATACACCACACAATCAACTGCTCTGAGGAGCGCTCTACTCTGATTCTCCAACTGTGGAAGTTGCCTACCTGCTGTATATACAGATGCACTAGTCATAGTTTTTCTAAAAGGTGTAATAGTAGCTGCTTTTTCCGCTTCCAGCTCTGCTACAGTCTTCTGCTTCACAGGGGCTCCTTGAGGAATGTTATTTGGTGGAGGTGCTGGGAAAATCACCTTGCCATCCTGACAAGAGATATTTACAGTTATCGCTAACATGGCAGATGATTTATAGTTAGAGGAGCCTACTCTTCTTAATCCTCCAACTCAGATTAAGACGTAACATCCCACAGCCATGCCACAGCAACATCTTCCTTCTCTGCATCAGCAGAAGTCTGCAAGGCTGGATGATCAGTACAGCCTGACCAAGTTAACCATACCAGTTTACACATTTTTCAGACAAGATTTAGTACCAATCTCCATGAGCACCTTGCAGAAATACAGCACATGCTTGAAAACGGAAACCAAAACAAAGAGATAAAGTTCCTTAAACGGAAAACACTTATGTAAAATAAAACACGGTCTTGGAAATAGCAAGATCTGCTACAGATCTGAACTGTAATCACAGCCTGCCCAGACCTCAGCTAGGTAGCAAGCATGATGTCTCTGTTCGTTTCGTGGTGTTCTTCTGGCCTCTGGAGGAATAACTGGTAGAGCTGTCAGACCTGTGCTGTACACACCACTTCAGTCGTCTGCAAGACCTGAAGTCAGTGCAAGCCTTCTCCAGAGTAGGAGCATTACAAAAAAGCATTACAAAATGTTGGCAACATTATGCAGCAAAACTCAACAGAAATGAATACCTCTTACCTAACTAGCAAATTAATATTTCCTTATAATTGCAGGAGGAAAGCCCATACTGACCCATGCCCTAAATTTGTATTTTATTGTTCCCTAAAAGAAGTATCCTGCATATTCTAGTTCCACCATTTTTTTCTGATTACTTTTAAAAGAATAGAAACATGTATTTATTTTTTTTTTTAAAAAAAAGGAAGAATGTTTTTCTGGTCCTGTAGTAAAGTTTCAAACATCTTTTAAATAACTATGCTTTTATCACATGAATACAATAAGCAAATAGCATCTTTTTCCTATTTTTTAACAGTAGACATTAACTATTTGTTTAACCATGACAAGACAAAGGCAAAGAGGTTTCCCTTCACAAAAAGGGAGAAAGTAATATTCAGCTGAATACAAACATGATTGCCAACACTGTCCATCAAGCCACACCTAAAGTCTATTGGCATGCAGTGTCTTTGAATGCACTGTAAGAGACAACACTGATAAATGTAAAAGTATGTACTCACAAATTCAGAACGGATTATTTACTGGCTTACCTTCATTACTACAGTTCCTCTAATCACATGATCCAGAGTCCCATAATCAAATTCATCTTTTGGATCAAAGTAGAAGTTCTCTTTGTCAGGACTAATAGCCTTTAGGAGCTTGATAATATTATTGGAATACAGACTACTGGCCTGAGTAGCCATTCTGCTAGGCAGGTCTGTGTAGCCAATGTGTGTAACACCCTGAAATAATTCAAGTAAAATATTAAGGATTAGTTCAATCTCTGAAGAAGCAGTATCTCGTCCAATATATCCTTTTGTAAATATATACCCTGTTTTGCTTATTTCTGGTTTTAACCCCAATTAAAACTGTTACCTACACCTCTAACACTAGTAAGCTGGGGGGGGATTACTCACAACAGTTACAGAATTCAGTATGATCAAACCCAACACTTTAAATGCTATTAGCCACAAACCTACACAGAGAAGACAACGTGTTGGTGCAAGACCTTGTTCTCTCAAAATCCTACCATACTCTCAGAACTTAGCTTGTCAAAGCAACCAGGTAACAGATTATCCTGTCCAATGCTCGGCATCTTCTCTGTCCTTCTGGAGGGCACGCATTGGAGGCAACTTTCTATACGACAAAGGAGTGAAGGGAGCTTCGTCAAAGCTAGCTAGCTGTGCAAGTAATACGCCCGGCTTCACATTTATGTAAATATGTACCATTATATATCCACACTGTCCAAAGAACACATGTGAGTATGCCTGGCTATCAGGTGCTTGAGCTTTTGGAAGGTATGGGAAGCTGATGCTGGCACACACTTTTCACATTCAAGCAAGTTTGTGTTAAAACACTGCTCCTGCAACTTACAGCTAAGATCTACGCAGGCTACCAGGAAATCTGGCTTCTGAATGCAACGCTCTAGCACAGTGCTAACAGTTCTGCACTGCTGCTCCTTTCCACAGTGCCAATACACGACACCCAGGGGTAATATTCCTCTGACTAAAAGCACTCCATGTAAATTCTTCATGCAAGTACCTGCTTATTTCTGTTCCACATACTCTAATTTCAATTTCTAAGCAATGACATCAAAAGCCCTAGAAAACCACAAAGCCAAATACAATGTGTGATTCATGATATATACACAAACAGCCCTGCTTATATTAATGAAAACCACGGCAGCAGTATGTCCTACAGGCTTCCCTAGAGCCGCATAACAGCAGCATTATGTCCTACATTACCAAATACTGACCTTGGAAATCTGCTACTTTAAATCTCATCATCCAGATTTCTGTAACTGCTAGCAGATTTCTCAAAAAACAAAAACAAAACCCAGAAAGTAGAGAACAAGCTCTCAACTGAGCCAATGAACACTGGAGCAAAACTAATGGAGTTAATTCAGTCCAGAGCAAAATTGCTTAGTTTAATGAACAAATTCACACTACTCCTGCTTTAGGTTACAAGTGGTTTGGATACTCCAGGGCAGACATGCTCATGCTGGTGAAGCTAAAGACATACAGAGACAGCACCCTCCTGAAGCGCGAATTATATAGAGCTAAGCCACAGACCTTGCACTGAAGTAAGCACTGACATAGTCTGAACTTGTTTAGCTTACCTCTGACAGGGACTGTTAACCTCCAGTTGTGGGAGGTGATAAGCAAGTCAAAAGAAGTTATTGCTACTGCCGTCTCCTTAGACAGACCAAGAAACAGAAAACAAACCACACCCTCAACTCAGCAGAGACAAGTCACTGGACTTGAAGTCTAAGTAGTAACACTTCCATACCTAACCACTAAATTAACACTACACAAAGGTATTTGTTTCTTTAAAAATCTTCAAATTGTTATAGAGATGACTAGTGACAAAATGCAAATGTAAAGCATTACTTAAGCCCAAATAACAAAATCAGCTACTCATTTTCAGCATTTCATACAGTTTACAAAACACAATGTGAATTCACGCAAAACGAGAATGATCTGCAGATTAAAACACTCACCTTATGAACATACATTTCTCCAGGCTTTGTAGTCTCAATGTTTCCTCCTGCTTCTGCAGCTAAATCCACAACAACTGAACCTTCCTTCATTGATTCAATCATATCTTTTTTAAACAAGACAGGAGCTTTTTTGCCTGACAAGACAAGGCATAGTAAGTTAAAACCCAAAATACAGCTTTTTATCTGTAGAGCTCAGGAGATGAGTCCTCCCATTCTCTCTCTCTCTAAACCTTATTTTTCCAAGTGAAATTTTCAAGTTATCAGTACCTAGGACGAAATGTCACAGAAGCTTTGTTTATATAGGCAGAGAGAAGAGATGTTAGAACATCCTGCTCCCAAGCATACAAAAAGGTATGCACAGGCAGTCTGCCAAAGATGCTGGCAAGTCTGATTTTGGATGTGGTTCGATTACTGAGGACAATCTTATACTTCAAGTCATAACAAAGAAAAAAAAGAAACACTACATCGTAAGTTATTAAAAGACAGATGCTGCGCACTACAAAGCACTAGAACCTAAGCTCTACCTTGCTATGTTTCACTTACAAAAGACAGTACTGTTTCAATTGGACTTGAAGCTCAATATCATGCCCAAGCTTGACAGCAGGAGGAGCAGTGATGCAACAGATACACAAGAAAAATGTATTCTTCTTTTATTACTATCTACTCCCTGTTTAATAAGAAAACATGACGATGTTGAGTCATGCACTGCTCGTTTGCGAAAACAGAAGCTTTAAAAAAAGGTACACATTTTTAAACCAGGCATTTATCAAGGAAGGGAAAAGTTACGTGCTTATGCAGATGTAATTCATTAACACATCTGTTTTCACTGCAGGCACAGCTCCAAAACATGCTAACTTACACAAGATACATGAAAATCAGCATCTTGCACATGAAACATACCTGGAATAAGTGCTGTAGTGATGATAATATCAACATCTTGGCACTGTTTGGCAAAGAGTTTCATTTCAGCCTCAATAAATTCTTTGGACATTTCTTTAGCATAACCACCTTGTCCCTCTCCAGATTCCTTTAAGTCTACTTCCAAAGGCTCAGCACCAAGAGACTAACTTACCCTAGGATTAAGGAGACCATAATGAAGTCCTCAACTTTCTGCATTTAGTGAAAACTAATTTGCATCACTAATTGTAAGTCCCTAATGAAGATACTTGCATAAGGAATAAAGGTAGCCTATGGTTTCCTGTACAGTCAGTAGGAGTTGCTTCAAGAAAGTTTCAAAGATGTGAAATTAACTGTTGACTAACTCTGCTCACCCACTTCTCGTGTCATGACTAGGTAAATCTACAGCCCAAACTTAGATGCCCAAGATAGGTCATAAATACACAGACTGTGGCCCCATTTTTAACCTGTGAAGTGGGAAATACCAGTAAGTCTTCTTTTCACAGGTAACATTGGTTAGGGGCTGGAAAGGCTTGCGGGTGGGGGTGGTGTTTGGGATGTTTGGGGCAGGTGATACCACAGTGAATAAAGAGACTAAATATCAGTGCTAAGTGAACATTCACAACATGCAGAGGATTTAACACAAACATTCTTGTACACCAAGACAAAAGCATACAGGATGCTTAAGAAGGGAATTAAAAAAAAATCTGAAAAGTTTTAGACAGATTTTGATCACGCTTTACAGTTTGTTTTAAGGCATGTGAAGATTTTCCTAACAAACTGCAGGCAACATTTTTTTTGTATTGCACTTCATAAATCTGGAGATACATTCACTTTTATTCCTTCATATTAGATACAGCTAAGTAGCACTTGATGCCACTTCTGCATAAAAACAAACATGTAAAGTAATTTTAATGCAAATACACGATTAAGTGCACACAAATTCAATATAAGGCAGACATTTAATAGAAAAAAATTTATTCAAGTTTGCAGTCCCTGTAGCAATAAGAAGAAAAATGTTTGTGCTCTGTAATTTTCCCAGTCTATTGCTCTAAAAAAATGGCTGTGGGACAAAATAATCCTTCTGAACATAAGTAAGAGACCCAAGGAAAGCAGTATTTAAAGCAGCTTAAGTTGCAGTTTCTGTTCTTTCATCTTGAGTTTCATAAATAAAATAACTTAATCTCTCTCTCTCCTTCAACAGATTGAAAGAAGTGTCTCTCCAAAGAGCTCCTAGCTGGCCTCTCTGGGATCAGCAGAGTAGAGGTGAATGACAGTACACAGCCATGCACCTGGATCAAAGCAAGCTATAAAAACAAGGGCATGAAGATTATTTCTTCACTATTTTCCCTGTGTCCCCAAGAATAAGAGACACATGAAATCCTGGATAAATGCCTTAACTTTCTCATTTTCATAAAGCAATTAGTTCTTTTATTCATATAGTTCTGAATGATTTAATGAGAAGGACTCTTTGGAAGGTCTGGTTGTTTTGAGGTATAAAAAAATGGAGGAATAATGATGGAATAAAAATCATAGGAAAGGAATTGTGATTCAGTGCAGTACAAGTGTTTTCACTGTAATACAACCACAAACTACTTAATCGTAAAATAATTTTAGATTGCTATTACCATTTCACACACCTACCTAGTATCAAATCCACGAACCACTGCACCCATTGATTTCGCTGCTCCTGCAGAAGCCAGACCAGCAACTCCTCCTCCGATGATCAAGACCTAGAACAGTAACATCATCATGTTTGAAGCGTAAACTAAAACTAGAGCTGGTTAGAAAAGCATCAGTACTGTACTGCTTTCACAGCTGCAGATGCACCTCATTAACCTGCCACTTAAACAAGCTACCTTAGGACACAGAACCCAGAACAACTTTAGTAAAGCTGCCCCAAAAATCTCACAGTTTAAAAGCTGTAACTCCTGACTTCACTTATCTGAGAGCCAACTCATCTGTAGCTAACAGTTTGTGTAAGTAAGTATAGGTTTTCTCCTTACTTTATGTCCCTTTTTTTTTTTCCTTCCCTACTTCTACTTTCATTTCTCTTCAACCCAATCCACTTGCAATTCCAATCAAGCAATCCTTTCCATCTCAGCCTTCAATGTACCAGAAATCACAACATCCCTGACTTTTCGTAACTGCTTTCTTACCTTTCCCCATCTGGAAAAAAAAAACAAAAAAAACCCAACCAATAATCCATCCACGTATAGCAGGTCTCATGTTTAAAACTCAGCAAATTTAAATAAAACTCAAATGATTCTATTATTAAAAAAAATGACACTACAGGTAGTGAATGAAAATCGGTATGGGAATAACTATAGCAAGCTCTAAAGTCTCTAGAACTAGCCCCAAGGCAGGAAGAAAGCCTTTTAACACAGTTTCAGCAGTGGTTAACTGTACTCAGGAGCACACATACTCGTCTGCCACAACATCTGTTTGACTGCACATACCTTTGCTGGAGGAACTTTACCAGCAGCTGTAATCTGACCCGTGAAAAATCGACCAAAGTGATTTGCTGCCAGTACCACGGCCTTGTAACTGTCAATTAAGGACAAATACATATCAGTATTATCCCAGGCTCAGTAAAATTGCATTCATGACAGCAATCGAAAGGATGAACATTTGACCATACCATGTGTAGAATAAAGCAAGTTTAATACGTTACTATTGAGCACAAATTTAATAGTCTGTCTTTGTTCATATTTCTTGTTTTTTTAAAATCACAGAGTGCATTTTCAGACAGGATTTTTGGACTGCAATATACTGTATGTCCATAACTATTCACACTCAAGTAAATTTTTACCTGAACAATAAATGCCTAACTTGTGAAAAGTTAGCTCTGTGGTCTTTGAAGAGACGCTCAAAGGTTGTAACCTGAGGATTGTTCAGGGTGGAAACATGAACAAGCAATTGCAAAATCCAGAGTAATTATGCCGTGAGCTCACTCAGGCAAGCAAGCACACATTCAAAAAGAGATACTCTGACCCTAACTCTCCAGAGCTATCTGCCTTAGGGCAAATAGCTTAACCTTGTTCCTTTTTTGCTCCACCAGCTTTTTAGCCATCCAACAACAGGTGGCTGGATGCCAAGCTAACATCAGCAGAGCTATCTGAAAATGCACATTAATGCATAATTATGTCTTTTCTTAAGAACAGTGCAGATTTTCTTGCATTTTTACTAACAGTGTTGTGGTTCAACAGTTCCACTCCACTCTCTTTCCTGTCTCTAGCAGGGACATACAGAGGTCTGTATGCTGTAAAATTAGTTCTAATTTGTAATAAAGCTTGTAGATTTTATACCTTTAAATACATTACAAATGTCTATGTTGTAATAAAATTACACAGAATGAAAACACAGAGAAGCAGCCAGACATGTATGTGGATATACACTGCTGGTGTCCACAAAATCTGGCAGTCATCTTCAAGGCTTACTATGCCTCATTAACATAATCTAAGTAAAAAGTAAAAAAAAAAACCCACAGCAATAACGAACCTAATAGCAGAAGTCAGTTTGATGACAACAACATTTTAATTCACAACAATACCTACAACATCAGTCGCAAAGCATGACGACATCTAAGAATATTTGATCTTTTGTTTATATCTGCCATGGCAATTGCATTCACACCAAGTGCTTTTCGCGTTAGTTAGCTCCCAACACCACCAGATCCCAATGACAAGACAATCAGTGCTCAAGCTGTCTTCAGGATATCTTGGAGCCTGCTCTGATCTAGTTCAGATCAAAAAGGTACTAGAAGACAAAGCAGCCCAGGAATTAGCATAACTGCCTTAATTTTTTTTTTTTTTAAAAGCCTTGCTCTGCTCTACTGCAAAGCTGACCATAACAAACTTAAGTCATTTGGCACCTCCAACAGCATCATCCTGCTTGAAACTACATGAAAATAGAAATGCAATATTTTTTTTTAGATATACCTAATATCAAAGCACATAGTTTTCAATCCAGCTATACTTACTCAAGCTCCAGAGGAAAGAAAAACAACAACAAATAAAGAAGTAAGATTCATACCCAGCAATGTTGGCCATGGAGCTAAGTGCATCGTATCCCTGAGCAATGGTGACCCGTGGAACCTGATCCATAGCCAAGACAGTAGTTTTTTTTTCTGCAAGCTTTTTCAGGAGGTCTGGATTTTGTGCTGGGTAGATAAAACTAATCAGGGTAGCCGCTGTCTTAAAAAGATCTGCCTCATGTACACCTAGAGCCGAGTTATACATAGGAGCCCTCACCTGAAGAGAGAGAGATGTTTCCAAATTAGTCAGAGGAAATAAATCAGAACACACTCCACTTCCTTTCTCCCAGCTTGCAGTCTGTCCATTCCCAACCACAAAGTATATCAAAATCTGTTTACACAACCAAACTGAGTAATTGCACTTCTCAACTGCAGTCCATCTCTCAGTCAGCTCCAGGAGGACTGGTGACAGGGCAGTGATAGTCAGCATACGCCTCCAGAAAGATCTGGTGGCTTCTAACCAGCAGTTACTAGCTTTTATGACAGGAAAGGAAACATCAAATTTAAGGTCTTGTTCTTTTTTTTTCTTCAGGACTCCGAACAACCTAATATCTCTCACGCACCTTCACTTTTAGCAGTCTTCCCAGATCAGCTACAACTCTTCTAGTTACAAATACTTTTGAGACACACTGTTGCTGTGGAATTGTCAGATGTCTGATTGAGAAAAGTTAGAAACTTACACCTCCAGAATTCCTAGCAACTCTCTCTAAGGAGTAACTTGAGTTTTATGTTACTAATTTCAGAGCGAAAGTTTCTGAGAGCAGGGATGTCACCTGATTAGAGCCCAGAACTAGTCTACCTCCCTCTAGAAAACACAAATCCTCCAACGTAGTTAAAAACTTGATAAGAAATTATCCTCCATTTTTTTCAATGCTGCCATTTACTAGTTTATTACTGCAGATGCACACTTAAGCTATTAAAAAACAACAAAAGAAAAGGACAGACTAAAACTGAATCAGAACTTAGAATGGAAAACATTAACTTAAAGGGGCCTACTTACTGAACTTTCAGCATTAGAAAAAATCGACCTGTATGTTTCTCCAGAAAGAATGTAATAGGAAATATATTAATAAAGCAATTACTTTGACAATCAAATCAGAAGCCAGGACTTCCTTGGTCCCCTGGATCTTTGCTCCAACTTCTCTGTAATGGTCATCAGAAAATTTGGAAGCTTCTCCAGCACCAGATTCCACCACAGCATTGAAGCCTTGTTTAATCAAGGCTTGAACTCCAGCCGGTGATAGAGCCACTCTTTTCTCATTCTCAAATATCTCCTTGGGGACACCTACAGTCAGCTGTTTATAAGGAATTCCTGTAAGAGTGGCAGATAAGACAGCATTAGTTGCACTAAAGATTAACTGGTATTGATGGCACTCTTCAGTGCTGTACAGACACACGCAGACATGTCACACTCAGCAATTCTCCCTCCTAACAGAAGAGGGAGCAGAATGATGTTTTCTAGCAGTGTAGTTTACATTTCCTTACACGACACCATCTTGCTAGACATCCCTGTTCTCTCAGGAATCAGCAGGTCAGCACAATCAGCCACACAAGCAGTAACAAGTGTTTGTTGCAGTTCACACCCATCTGAATTTATCCAGCTCTGATTGTGTAACTGGCATTCTGATTTATAAAATACACAGTGATATTCTGGTGATAACACATTCTGCCTGGGGAAAGGAGAATTTAAATCCCCCCTCTAGTCACTTCAACTTTATTGTGAAGCAATAAACAAAGGAGTTTGAACAGCTGAACTGCATTTTAACTGAACATATCTTTAATGTCTATCAAATTACAGTTTTCTCAGATCACTATTCATGAATGTAACGTACATACCACAAACTACACTGAAAAGCACAACTACATCGACACTCTAAGAGGTGCTACAGAAATGAAAAATGTGAATTCAGGAGTAGTTGAAGAATAATGGAATATCCATCTACAAGTTTGTTCAATTATACTTCCCTTCAGTGTTACCTCCTTGTCTTAACTTGTTCAAAGCTCTGCTAAGTAACACCAGGAAACTGCTGAAGCTGTAATTTATCAGTTTTAGCTTAAGGTTTCAAATTACAAACATCTAACTTTGTTCATGTACAATTTGTGGGCTTCCAGTCTAACATCCGACAGCTAAACGTCTCTGATCCAATCAAGTGTTTAAATACATTATTTATAAATACAAAGACTCAAGCACAATAATTGTATATTAAACTAAAACACTGTTTCAATTATTCTAGCCAGCATGCCGTCCAGCACACAGGCCCAGCTCTGCACCAGCTTTCACCTATGTCTGTCCAGCATTTAACCCTGGATTGTGACATTGATACATGAGACACACCAAATACATATTAATGAGATATAATTTGAGGAGCCTAAGCAGTCACTCACATCAGAGACCAAGCAATAACAACAATAAAAAATAAGTAAGTAAATAAACCACAAACCAAGTCAAAAAAATGAACCAAAAAAAATGGGAGGAGGGGTGGAAAAGCTTGTTTTAAGTTACAAATCTGCTTTTAATTTGGTCACCAATACTCTGTATTGTGCTACAAAAAATTGTACCAGACTAGTAATGTGTTCCATGTTTTAGGAAGACCTCCTTTCAGTTTTCTTTCCTGTTTTTTTTTAAGATAGAAACCAGCAAAAGAAAGCCAAAACCATACCACACTATAGGAGCTTTGAGAAATTGTTATTTTGATATTTTTAAATCTAAATATCTATGAAAAAAGAGTTGGACTATAAGGTTCTTAAAGTCTAACATCTGAAAATGTTTTAGATTAACAACTTTCAAGATGCCATCAACTTACAATGTTCTGAAATACAGAGTTGCTAAAAACTAGTACTTAAATATCTACCTGTACTTGTCAGTCTTCTAACCCATTAAAAAAAACTGATTGAACACATCCAACAAGAAGACAGCATGAAAGATCACCAGACAAAGAAGTGCATTACTTCTAATTATTTTTATTTTCTTAAATTTTAGATTCCTTTTTCAAATTAAACTAAGAAAATGTTAACAAATAATTTGAAGACACAAGTGTTTTGGTATTTTGCATGTTGGGGAACATTTAAAATTCTTTATATTACAAGACAAAAGTCACATTCAGAAAAACATGCTTTAAAGGAACATAAATTCACAACAGGAGCGAGAATGCCCACCTAAGTAACAGACCCACAAAGGTAACAAAGCTTTGCAGAGAACTGTTTAATCAGCACACACCACATCTAAACATCACCGTGCCACTCAAGGCACTCCTATCACAGCAGCACTAACCTCTTGAAAGCTACAGTAACTGTTGCTGTCACTCATACAAATCATCCTTGTCATTTGAAGGGGACTTTCTCATCATTCTTCTCCTAATTACTGCACAATAAAGTCCTGCTTCTGATTTTCAGTAAATCAACTCAGTGGAAATGAGCTCTCATCTTTTAGAACCAGAAATGACACTTTGCAGACTGATATTTGTTAGGATAACAGGGACCAACCATCATTTTAGAAAGGAAGTAGCTCTAGGATAGACTGCAAAAAGCTGTTCAAGAAGCACTAAGAAAAGGAGGACTGGAGTGCTACCTTCTCTTTGTCCTTTTGGAAGTTTTTGCAGCACACAAATGCAGAGGAAGGAAGGAAGGAATTATACAGGGAGTAGAAGGATGACTGTAAATTTAAAGGCACAGCGACACCCGACTAAAGCTTTTACACTTTTTTTTTTTTTAAAGCAAAAAAATTAACTTTTTTTTAGCTCCTAAGGCTCATATGACAACTGATGCTTCTGATTTCTTTTTCACTTTTTCTGTTCACTTGCTCCTGTGTGGAGTACTAGCAATAAATAGCTAGGAGGGATGGGACAGGAATATGCACTCATTAAATGTAAAATGTGTTTCCTCATTTCTCTTTCACATTGTTACATCTTGCATGCAACAAAAATAGGCAAAACGTTTTTAGATAGAAAGTATTTGCAGCTTATTGGTAAGCCAAATTACCAGACACCAATACTGAGAACTACGCCCTCCTCCAATGCTTTGGGATATCAAATCCAAGACAAATATCCAACAAATCTCATCTGCCTCACACCTTCTTTTCTCCTCTGTCGCACTATCAGATTTCTAGCAACCAGTGAATATAGACGCAAATGAATACAGAAGCAAACAGATGTCAGTTTGCCAGCCTTTAGCTAGAGCAGGTATAGGAGACTTTTCAAGCAGACTACCCTGAGCTATCACATCATTCTGCACCAAAATGGAGCCAATGTCTACAATCACAAAGCCAAGATCTATGTTAGAACTCCAGGACAGGGTATGATAAATACTGTGTTTGAAGGAGGCTACACACACAGAGATTTGGTCTGTTGAACTCAATTTCATTGAAGTCATTATTTTTGAAAGGTTGAAATCTAGAATTGCAAACTTAAGATCTTGATTCAGGTTTTATTCTGAGAAAGCACATCTGTTATCCTTGCCATGGGTTTAAAACTGCATGAGTGTGAAGCTTCCAAATTGCCTTTCTAAGCCTCCACGTCCAACAAATCTCTTTAAGCACTGCCTTGAGTATGCTTTAGTAACTGACTTACTGCTTCATGACATTAAGAACATATTCCAAAAGCAGTTCAATATACCTTCAGTATACTCAATATACCTTGAGCACGTTTGAGTCACATGAAGATTTTGAATGTACTGTTCATTGCATAGGAGACACACAGTACTTTTTTGATACAAATAATCAACACCAAAAGGATTCTGCCACTATCAAAAGTACAATCGTTAAATTTCACAACTCTTAGAATCCTAGTATGGAATGTAGATAAATTAGCGTTTAGAAAAACAAGTAAGAAGCCACTCTTTCTCATCCCCTTAACATAATCTTGACTGTCTAAGGAGAACATACTCAAAGCAGTCTCAAACTTCAAGCAAACAAACTAAGTAGGTAGTCTACATTTCCAAGCTTCAGAAATCAAACAATTAAAAATAACTATAAAAGCAATTTTCTCCATTTAACTTCCATCTACAAAATGACTGTTTAAAGAAGATCCTAAATTAAAACTATCAAGAAAACTCTGAATGTTGTACATACAGAAACAGAGAAAAACACAGGTTTTTATCTCAACCTGATTTGAGAAAGTAGTTTGTAGCAAAAGAGTATCAACAAATATTAGAGATTAACTTAGAGAAAAGAGAAAGGAGACGTTTTGACTATATGCCAAATGTTCTGGGATGGGAAAACAGCATATGTAACCTGCCTGATATCTAAGTTACTCCAGTATTAGCTTTAAACAAACCATCTCATCTGTTCTGAAGATGAGGACATATTCCGAAGAACAGCAATATGACGTTGGCAAAAAGAAAAGAAAAAAAGAAAACAAAGAAAAAAAAGAAAAAAAGAAAAAAAAAGAATGGTACAGAAGATTAAACAAACACCTGATCCCTCTTCCTACACAAGCAAGGAGATACAAAAAAAAACAAGGAAAGGAAAGGACAATGTCTATGGTTTATAAATAACGTACAGCTTATCTAGAGAATTCACAATAAACCGTCACAGATTTAAACGTTCTGCAAGATTTAGAAAAAAAACAGGAAACATTAAGAAAGAAGCATGAAAATAAAAAGGACATTCTAAATCCCAAGACAGAGACAGGTAAAAGTCACAGAGCTGTAGGACAAACCAATCTGGAAGTATACTGGAAACCTCAGAGTCTGTCACTTCACATGCACCTTTCCCAGGACTTGGGAAAACTTTGCATCTGTTTCTGAAGCATCTGGCACTAGCGACTATTTAAGACAGGTTACAGGAATACTTGTTTACTCCTGTACGAAAATTCCTATGTTTCTAAGAAACAAAGAAAATAACAGCAAAATAAATAGCAATAAGAAAAGTATCCATCCTCCAAGTTTACTTTTCAACTGACTCCAGATCTCTTCACTCCTCAAGGAGCTGTTATTCTTTTGCATAATATATCCTGGACTAATGAGAGAACAAAAGTAATAACCACAGGCTTAAGAATAATAACTGTGACACTAAGTCTTTTCAGAAAACTCACTCTTCTTGGCATTACAGTGATTTTACCAAATGTCACTATAATCAAAAGATAATTTCTAAAAGTAAGCATAAAATGTAGTTATTTTATATGCTGCTAAATTTTGATTCAAGAGCACTTAAAAAGTATACACAGGCAACAGTACTGCTACTAATTTGTCATTCAATGGCTGTTTTAACCTTGATTTGTCCTCTACTGAAGGACAAATCTCATGTTACCAAAACGAACCGTAAGGACAGCTTAATTATCAACCAGAAGACTTACAAAACTCGTAATTCTCAGCATTAAAAAGCATTGCATGAATACTACTCCCCCTTAAATAAGGGCTTCTACATGACAGATCTGAAGGGACAGCACTGAATGCTTAAACACATGATACTAATCAGAATTCCCTGTCCTTGTGGAAAGATTGCTGAAAAGTGATTCATAAAACAAATGCACACATGCACACACACACACACAGATGATCACACTGATTTCAGTAAAAATGAAGAGATCTTTCAGTTTCATGATCAAATTTGCAGTCAAAGTCAAACACAAAGTTTGATTCTGTCCTGGGTTTGGCCAGAACAGGGTTAATTTTCGCCAGACTCCAGGAAGGGGCACAGCCAGGGGGTGGGGGCTGACCCCACCTGGCCAAACAGAGCCCGGTATTCCATACCATGTGACATCACGCTGGGTTCCGGTGGGGGGGGCGGCGCGGCGGGAACTCGCTCGCGGCTCAGGAGGGGGGAGGGGTGGCCGCGTGGCGCTTTTGTTGCCGGCGGCAGCCGAAACCAAAACAGATTCCGAACTCAAACAACAAGGGCACTTACCTGGGACATTTGAGAAAGAACTCTGAACCTAGCTTCCTACGTCCCAGGTTAACACTCCCAAACAAGGGATAATTTGCCTTACCAAGACAGACAGACATCTCTTTCACTCAGGTAACTGAGTATGGAAAAAAAATTTTAGAACATCACAAATTCACAGGATGGCAAAACTATGACCTGATCAGTTCTGACAGACCCCAGATCCCTGGCCTGTCAGTCACAACAAAGAAATTCAGGTTTCACCATGCAACTGTGGTAAAAAGCCATGTGATACAGATTATCAGGAGCCCTCTGAGTAAAGAAACTCTTCTTCTCGTCACATTTCTTCAGAAGCTCCGAAGCATTAGGTCACGCATTTGACAGGACCCCAAAATGCACCAGCCACTGTTGTTATGGCCAGAAATTCCACACAACACAGGCTTCTCAAGAGTTAACACAGTCTAATCTCATGTCCTCTGTTTTTACAACCAGAGGCTTCTGTTCACAAACAGCACTACTTTTCTAATGCTCTGAAATACCTAATGCATTACGTACTGTGTATGTTTGGAATAACCAAATGTTACGCGTACAATCAGTCTAACTCTCCACGTCATTCCGACGCAGACTGAGAAGGCCTTGGAGCTGCACTGAAGCAGGGCCTCTAAATTCCACCAGGGAAACACGACCCATGCAAGATAATGGGCAAAAATATCATTAAACCTGTTGCATATGTTCCTCAGTCTTGTAGCTATCCAGCTGTCCACAGTATAGGATAGGAAAAAAAAGGTCAGTTACGATTTTCATACACCAAGCTGACATCCTAAACTGGAAGCAAGGATGTCCCTATTCGCCCCTCCCTTTTGCCCCTGAAAACACCTGAACCTGTCCATCATCTGCACTAAAAAGTAATTAGTGCAAATATACCAACAAACCCTACACCTGAAGATGAAGATCAAATGTTCTTCAAGGTAGTACGGCTTATGAGTTTCCTCAATAAAGTTAGCAGATTTTTTAGATGGGATAATTACATCTACATATAGTCATGTTTGCAGATATTCTCTGTGTGAGGGCTGTGTTTTTCCCCGCAGGCACACAGAGAGTTGTACCACCAAAACTCAACTCGGGCTTTTAGCTAAGAAAAGCATTTGTTTAAATACTTCCCTTGAGCAAGGTGTCAGCAGGACCTCCGACCCCCTACCCATAAAAACTATTTGGACCCAGAGTATTCATAATAAATGAAAACACCTTCTGCATGAGCCCTTTAAAGCCAGTGTAAAATTGCACTGCGACTTACTGACAACTCCAGCGCGCTGCCGACGCGATTTAAGAGTGTTCATTTTAAGTCTTTTCTGCACTAACGCACATCTGAAAGAAAAATTCAAACCACCTTCATGTTTCATAGCAAAAGATCATTTACAACAGTTTAATCGACTCACCTGGCTTTGGAGCTGCCTGGGACGTGAGCGTCCGGTAGGTTCTAAACACCCGCAAGCACGGCGTCTTTGCAGAATACACCTTAGGTGGTAACACATTGCCAAAAATAGGAGCCGAGCAGCCGCTGACAGCGATACGCAGGAGGCTCGCCATGTCGCCCAGACCTCGCCGCGAGCTCCTTGCCACGTTCGGAATCCCTGCCAGGTTCGGAATCCCTGCCAGGTTCGGAATCCCTGCAGCACAGGCCAGAACAAAGCCGGGGTTACGGATGACACCTGACAGGTGGCACGCGAACTCGGCCACCCGCCCGCAGCCACGAGATGACCGCTTCTCCCCACCTTTTCCTTCCAGACCGAAAACAAAACCCACTTTTTTCGTCCAAACCAGCTACCGAACTAAAGCGAGGAGCCCCCGGAGGGGCTGACGTT